GATGTTGAATTGTCGAGGTTGATAGAGTAGTATACTTAAAGTTTGTTTTTTGTAATGAAATTCGTTTTATTAATTAATAAAAGTTTATTCTTTCCATTTTATTGAAAATCTATATAGACAAAATGTTTGTATTATATTTTATATATGATATGCATATGTCTTATATTTTACATTGTAGATAATCTGGTGTGTAGAGTTCGGCTTATACACAGAAGACCAAATTATCGGATTCTTGTATAATATGAGTATATGTTCACAATAGTAGATGGAATTGGACACGTCATTGGTATGATTGTAATATTCTAGCATAGTCTGTCTTAACTATAGGAAATTGTTTGATGTCTCAGATTATTGCACTAGTACACTTTGTGTATTGAACATACTCATGTTGATGTTATTATATTTTACTGATTTAATAAGATAATAAATACTTTATGATTGATTATGCTCTTAGTCCCTAAATATTTAATTGTCATGTGCATATAATGTTTGTCACTTTAATTCATCAAATAGTGAGATTCATATTGGGTCAATAAGTTCGATGAATTGGGAGATGATATTATTTGTATGGTGAAAATTAAATATTAAAGTAAACCGCGTCCTAATATTTAATTGGGTTGATGATGTACTCTTAAGAAAACTCATAAGATTTGTCCATATCAAACTCTCTAGGTAGATTTAATTATTCGACATGACAAATAAGTTGAGTGGTAAAATCTCAAAGAATAAAAGAAGTCAATTAAATATAATTATTAGTGATTTATTTAATTGATGGACAGCTGTAAACTTAAACGTGAGGAGATTATTAACTATATAATAAAAAGAAGCTCGAATATAATTTTGAGATAAAGCCCAAAAGATCAATAATAAGTCTTTAGTAGACTAACTTATTATTGATCTGAGTTGAACATATGAATTCTAAGCCCATTGGGAGAGCCCGATCTTTATTTCTCCTTAGGGTCTCTGTCATAGCCTATATATAGACATCTAAATTCTCTATTTCAGCATCTTATCTTTACTCACATTTTTAGGGAGACAGAAAGAGAGAGCAAGGATTCGAGGTCTTAGCAGTCCACACTGCATTCAAATTCCGACGTTGGGGGATATACAATAAAAGACCGCGAGGTTCATCAAGCTGTAGTTGTTGTTCTGTTCTGCATTCGTGCTGAGACAAAATCAATCCCGAGAGATCTCGAAGGTAAACCCAAATTCCGCCTTATAGGATTTTAAAAGAAAATTTTTGATATTCAATACATACGCACTGTCAACGACTCTTGGGATTCCGTTCCAACCGAGGTATGGGCAAACCTCGACAGTTCCAAATGTAGCCAATCATTGAGAGGGTGGGGGCATGGTAAGGCCCACCTCCTCAGTCGATTGTCCATTCAAACTGAAATTCATAAAGAACATTAAACTCCTTGATTATTTTTATGCATGTGAACTTTCTGAGGAGTTTCCTACCAAAAGTGTCTGGGGTGTTAAGGGGATCATGTTCAGAAGTTTGGGAGTCATCAGGTTCAGTAACAATGTAGTTCACAGGGTGGTATTCTTTGTTCACAGGTGAAAAGGGTTGGTTATCTAGTGTGGCATATGGAAAAGGAGGTCTGGGGAAGTAGGTATTTAAAGGGGGTAGCGCAAGGGTGCCATCTTCTTGTCTGTAGAATTTTGTTGGCCTATTGTTGGAGGTATCTTCCAGTATATGGCGTTTCAACGAGAGGCCCTTAAAGACAGTTTCCATACTTTCATCTACAACTGTGTGAAGATGGGGAGGAAGAGGGGAATTTTGTAGGGTGTGAGGGGTATTTATGGCTGGGGTCAGGCTTATGGCTGGGTGGCTTGGGGTGAGGCTTATCTGAGGGGATAACTATGTATGTGTGGGTTGGTGCTTCAATTGGGCCTTCATAGTTGTTGAAGGTATATAAATGGGTAGAGGTGGTGGTTGGTTTAGATTTGGGTTGTTCTAGGCCAGGGCTTGATTGGTAGTGGTATGCTGGGATAAGTCAATTGGGGGCCATCTAAACATTGAGACATGTGAGTTAATGGGTTAGGGTTAGGGTTAGGGCAAATATGGTTTAGGAAATCAAAGAAGTTAAGCAGCGCGACCTGTGATTCTATTGGAGTCGGGACGAAATCATCCGATCCACATGTCTCTTTCTGCGTGGAGTCAGTGCGTGAATATGCGCCCGCATTCACGGTCTGGGACCATGTGCCGAATCTTTGTCGGGTGTGGGACGCGGTGTGCGTGAGGAAACTGGGTCACGCGCCACTTCTTAGAATTCTCCAGCAGCAGTCTCCGATGAATTTTAGTAACCAGCGGCCTTCCATGGATTTGCTCTATGTTGAGGACCATAAATTGTAAATTTGTTCTCCGGTGATGGATGAGCACATAACAGTTGGTCATGGCCTATCCTCCCACAATTGTAACCAAAATCAATAAATCACTCATATTTCAGTTGAATGAATTTCTTAGGACGTCCAGTTCTGGGGAGGCAAAAATGGATGGGTAAGGGTTTGGTTAAGTCCAACATGATTCTGGTCCTCGGGTAGTTTTTCCACTAGGTTTTTTGACTGAGACTTTGCTCGGCAAGAACGGGCTTACCCAGAGCATTGGCTATTGTTTGTGCATTTTCAGGAGTATTCATCTCTGGGGGTATACCGTGAGCTTGAACACAGAAAAGTGCCAGAGGTGAAATCTATTTGAGAAAGGGAAGATGCTGAGTTCCATTGTTTGAGGACGAGGATCTGACCTTTTATAGACCATGGGCTTTGATTTAACATTCTGTTCCTCAGTTGTTCGTGTACAAAGATGAAAATGAAAGTCATTCCCATCTTGGATTTCCAGTTGATGTTCAGAGTTCCATGCCCGATTGAGAATGGTTTTAATTCCATTCCTATTTAGGGGTTTTGAAGTGAATAGTTTGCCAACCAGGCAAGAGTGGGATACAAGATCAGCAATGGGGGGGTTGGTATGGAGCTGGATGGTGGGCTGGTCACAGTATCGGAGGGAAGGAATTGAAGAGTTGATGTGTTCAGTAATGGAAAGATCACCTGGATGTAACATTGGTGAAAGATCGGGTATGGAATGGAACTGTGGGTTTGTGATTTTAGAAGAGGGACTCAAAAAAAACTGCTTTTCTGATGAGGTGAACGTTGGAACAGTGAGTGTGGTTATCAGTGGGAGGTGAGTTGCAGGGGATGTAAGCATCTACAGAAACAATGAGTTTTACAACTAGCTAGCCAAAGTTAGTTAAAATTCGAGTGTAAAAAAATATAACCCTTAATTCAAAACAATAACATAACAGGATTCATATAATAGATCCCAAATAATTGGCACCAAGTCTTTATTGTGTTGAGGCATGCTTAGATTGAATTTATATGCAGTTCGAGTGCAAAAAACGGCCGGTTTGAATTTCAAGAGTTATTTTTTTGGGCCATTTGTCCTAAATCAATTGCGCTCACAGTTCAGTGGTCACCCACCCACCACTCAGACCGTCAGACGCCTACTCACCTCTCAGGTGATGAGACTCACTACTCCAACGACCTTTCAAGCGAGGAAGAGAAAGCAAGAAGGCCAGGGACTCAGGGAGACTGAAAAAAATTCCTCCGCTTACTTCGACAAGAATGATACTTCTTTGCCAGAAGCTCTCTATCATTCGACAAGAATATTATATGATTGGCTCAACCAGCTAACTATGTGGTTGAACCAGTGACCCTATCTTCTTGCTGGATCGATAGCCAATCCCGTTCGGATAACATTGCTACAAACTCTCCCAAAAAACAAACTTTTTTCTAGCAATTGGTCAAAATTAATTTCTCCTTCCATTTTCTTCCCCAAAATATATTGGTTCCGAGATGTATGGATTTGTTCTAGAAAGAGAACAGGCTTGAAAAACAAAAAATATACAGGAAATTCTCTTTTCACAAGTCTAATTTGGTGTCTAAACCTAGCCGTTCTCAAATCAAATCCCCTAAAGTTGATTCCCTACAAATTGATTAATAAAGAGAGGCATCACAGAAAAAATTATGACCAATGCATGAACTTTCCGTCAATAATGGAATCCAAAAGAAATAAGAATTTGATAGACTTATCTTTCTCAAACTCAAACATGCAATAAATTGCTTAGGTAACCAAGGGCTCATCACTGCTCCAGATTCGACCAAGAAAGTGCATTATCACATCATACATCAATTAAAATAAAAAAATTATGCCTAAGGAAGAAACTTAGAGGGGGAAATTGATTCAACTATTTTAGCTGGAATATGATATATGACACAGGTTGACCGAAAAAAAATCCAGATACTAGTACATACTTTCAAAGTTGGATTTGCGATCTGGCTAGAAGCCAGTTCTCTGACACTTGCTTTTAATTGAAGTTGTCTGTGCACCATTATATTTACCAGTATAAGAAGCTTACAACTCCCAGCTAAACAGCCCATCATGAATCCCTTACTTGTTCCTGCAGATTCTGTTCTCTTCAGGTGAGGTCCATATGCGCTTTTGCCTACATATCACAGAATTTTAAGTAACCAACCACAGTACATTTTCCCCAGATAACAGTCCTACATCAAAAATCAGGTTGTTCAATTAAGTTGCCTTCAGAGCTATCATTTCTTCATGAGCAACACTTTAAATCACTAAGGTGGTGCCCTCTACACCAACAAAGCCACAATAGCGGCAAAACAAACATTCACACTCATCCTATTCACCGTCCACCAATGGGTTTTCTCAACTTAACTAAACAAAGCCTTGTCTCAATATTTTTGGGGTTGGCTAAATGAATCATGCTCTACACAAATGAATCTTATGACATTAAAAACAAAAAAGGATAGGATGCCTGGAAGTTGTGTTTGGTGTAGAGTATCATCCCTCAAAACAGTTTAGACTCTTTTGGCTGGTACTAAACACATTATTAGTCAGGACGGCATTTAGTCACCAAACATCTTATTGAGTCTTTTAAATATTGGCAAGAGACTTAGGAGGAAATACTTTTTTTTCATAGACAAAAGTAGGACTTGGAAGGACTTCACATGAGGTGAAGTTTCGTTGTGTCGTGCTTTCTTGATTTCAAGACAAGCACAAGCACCTGCCCACATAAACCAGACAAGGAATTTTAATTGATATTATATCCACCTTTATAAGGGCTGGAACCAGACCATGAAATTTTAATTGAATCATATTAAACTATATAAGGTCCATTGCCGAGTGCAATAGACAATTAGTAAAGTATCGACTTAACAAACTTGAGATTATAGACCCGAATTTGAGTGCAGCCACGTTGCATAAATAATGCTAAAGTTTAGGTCAACAACTAGTCAATCCCTCCCTTAAGGGGGGCGAAATAAGGTAATATAAACCTATGCCTAATGCCAAATGTCTACAAATTTCAAGGGATAATGGGAGAGTTGAGAATCCCATTACAGGGGACTCATAGAGTGCCTTATTTGTAAACATGAGTTTGGAACCTATTTCGATATATATTTCCCTCAAGTCAACTCAATAAAGCCTTATCCCAATAATTTTTTGGGTAAGTTACATGAATCCTGTTTCGCCTTTGATACAATAGCTATACTTTCTGTTAAACTATAAGTTATACTATTTTTCTCTACCATTTCATTTAAAACTAATGTTGGTCTTTCTTTACACCTTCCTTTATCGTCAGTAGACATCGAATCAATGGTAGATCGTCTAGAGATATATCCAAACCATCTAAGTCAATTCTTCCTTATTCTATCTCATATATGTGCTAAAACTCTACTTTTTCACAGATTATCTCATTCATAATTCTATCCTTGCTAGTTTTATCACACATTCATCTAAATATTCTCATTTCTGCCACGCTCAATCATTGGACATGTTTCTATTGCCCAACACTCAATATCATAAAACCTTATTTGGTCTGATGACAGTTTTATTGAACTTTCCATATAACTTAAGGGGCATGCGCATATCATACAATACACCTATTCCTCCATTTAATCTATTCTACATTAATTCCGACAGTACCATTGACACCAATCTCGCAATACCTATGGATAATTGACCCCCAATAGCAACAGTGTCCCCAGTTTAGTATCTTCTGATCCTCAATCTTTACTACTCCCTGATTTGGATCCTCATTTTATTAAAGTTTCAATCTATATATTCAGTTTTATTTCTACTTATTTAAATCTTGTTGATTCTGAAACCTCTCTCCAAATTTTTAGTTTATGATTAAATCATTACTTTCATTAAATTAATACTACATCACCAACAATTTAACATACACCATGAAATTTCATTCTAAATGTCTATAGTCAATTAATCAAAAGCAAAAAGACATGGAGTCAAAGCCGACTCCTAATGTAAGCCTATAGTGATTAATAATTCATTAGTCTCTCATGACCGTTGTTCTCTCTAAAGTCACAATGTTTTTGTATATATCCTTGATAACCTTATTAAAGTTCTTATTTTCTATATTAGACATAAGTTAATTAGTGTAACATAATATTGTAATACTCTAATGCTACTCAATTATAAATAAGAAGTGTAGGGCAACCTAACACACACTACTGATTATTACTCTCAATCTCTTACTCTCTCTTTTCCCTTCTTCTTTTTTCTTTTTTGTATCTCAAACCCTAATCCATATTTTACATATTCAATTTAGTATCATAGCACATTATCTTGTTAAAAATGGAAAGAAAAAAACCTCAAAACCTCATTACGTGAAGTTCCAAAAAATAAAAAGTTGTTTGGAT